TTTATGGACGTCCTTAACCTTCATTGACGAGGTACCATCCGCCAACGCTGATGCCAACTCACTGGAGTACCTGACATCATACTCCCCATCAAACCCTCTACACTACCGAGTACTACATAGTGCAATTAAGTTTCTTCATCTCGGAGATGGTTCCATCGGAAGAGGGCTCGCCAGACAGTCTACGCAGTCGGTTCAGCAACTTGGCGATTTTCGTAATACCTGACCACTACTACTACCCCTACTACAATACGGCGACTCCTTACTCTTATCCCGAGAATTGAGTGCCTGCCTGGTCACTTCAACACCATCCGTTCCCTTCCGAGCTCCTCTAAGTCGATCCCGGAGTTTCTTGCGCCACAGCACCTCAGCAGCCTCCTAAAGGGATGCCCATTCACCTACACTGGAAAGGGCTCGAGCTTCTTATATTACCTCCTTCATTTTGGCTTTTATCTCATCAATTCGGTCTTGTGAAGCAGGACCAGTTGCCATGGGGACCAAAAAGTGAACTACGCCTTACGTTCCCTCGTCACCGTACATTGACAATCACTGAACTCACATCAGAACGCTGAGGTAGAAACGATTCGATTGTTGCTGCCGACTTTCGCACACCCATTCACTACCACTGAATCGATCCCTTCCAGTAAGCCACGAAGAATACAATAATGAGAGGTAGTAGTAGGATGAATACAAAGTACTTCTCGAAATAGAGACTCGCCAATTGCTCCACATATTGCACCTGCAAATAATAACCATACCACTCCTTCTTGAAAATGACTTAGATTCAATCGAGTAGTATTGTGTGAACCCACATACCGTGATGGAAGCTGATATGTCGAAGTGACTCTACTTTCAATGTACGACTATGTGAATACGATACGCTGAGTGAATCGATTCACAGTCTCAGTCGACGTGTCCTGGATTTGACCTCCCAACTCTACATAAATGATTCCAAGATCATCAGTGTGCATAACGAGTAGGTTACGAATAGCCATATACCATAATGGCTTACATTCTGCTTCATAGTGAGCTTAGATTCACCAGCAGTTCTCTCTTGGAATGTTATCGGAACATCTACGACTGGACTCGCCTTACAACGTACCATCAACTCTAGCCCAATCTTGAAGCCGATCGGATTGCACCTGCATCCCATCCTCCCACCAAATTAGGATCATCATCATTACTGCTTGTAGCCACGATTGAAGACCTCCTTAGTTGTGCAGAAGAACCCAGACATGGGATCACTGGATTTGGACACTCCTATGGCCAACAAGGTCGCTCCTTCCGAGATGATACGTCGAAAAAGAGACCACTGAAATCCAATACCGCCATCACGGCAGTATCTAGTAGTGCCATATAGTGATCACTTAGTCGCACCACATGTAGTACCTAGAACCCACTGTAAACTCCGCCTCCATCCTAAGCACAGGGTCCGCCACAGCAGGAACCGACTCAGGTTCGTGCTGGAGGTCAGCATCCTTCTTCTTCTTCTTCTTCTTCTTCTCAATCTTGGACGCGGCACGGCCATTCTCTGGCCATTTGCCGCCAACATGATTCCTTCTGTAGCCGCCCTTCTGCGGCTCGTTAGTCTCCGCTCCGTTGAGTTCCATTTCGTCCCGTATTTCTCCCATACGGTCATTCAAGATGACTCATCCTCGGCGTTGGGCAGGCGGCATTAGTCTCTGAAGACCCTTCCAGTCCTTCGCAGAAACCCTTCGAGTACCAGCGCCAGATCCCGGCTTCTGATGACAGTCTCCCCCTGGGGAGGCCACGTTAGCCCTCGCAGGTTCACTTCTCGAATTAATGCCCCCCGTTGGCTCTTCCATCGCTCGCACTCGTACAAAAAATGTCTCACATCCTCCGTGACTTGAGCGTCGCAGTACGGACATTCATCACTTCCCCCATCAACTCGGCTTCGGCAGTATCGCAGCCGG